TAAGCACAGGCAGCCAGATCAGGTAGAAAAGCACATTGCCGCCCCTCCTCCCAAATCTGGGCATGGGGTCCTGCAGTCTGCTCTCACCAGCCCCTCCAGGTGGCTCAGATGCCTGCTCACTTTTGAGAAGTGCTAGCACAAGACTTTAACACAGGCCAAGGTGTGATCTGCTCACAGAGACCCCTGTGGTTGCCGGGCAGGAAATGGTTTGCAGGTGAAAGACTGGAAGCCAAGCAGGAATGAAGGGCCCCCCAGGGAGGGGAGGGGAGGGCCCAGGGGCTGGGCCAGGGTACTGGTGGGACTGTGACCTCTAGTACATAGAGGAAGAGCAGACTCTCAGAAGGAGATGGAACCATTTGTCCCACATGGTTCCAGCGCAAGGTGCCTGAGAAAGAGCCCAGGAGGCAACTGGCCAAGCAGGGCAGGGGCCCAGGTGTAGATGTGGAGGTCTCTGCCATAGAGCAGGTGGCTGAAGCCAATGAAGAGCTGAGGCCATCCAGCCGGGAAGTGAGAAGACGAGAATCCAGAACCCTCAGAGGCAGCAGCGCCTGTGCACGAGAGGAAGGAGTAGACAGAGGTGGAGGAAAACCTGAAAAGTGTAGGGTCAGCCCAGGGAGGGCCGTGCTGAAGGGGGACTGATAGGCAGAAGGTACAGCAGGTGGGCAGTGGAACCTGTCCCTTGCTGCGGTACCAACAAACACGGTGGTGTTGGCTTTGACCCAGGAAGGTGTAGAAGTCATCTGGGAGCCGAGGTTTCTCCTCCAAGAGATTTTGCTGGGAAGGAAAGGAGAGAGATGGATTGTGGCTGGTGGGATTGTGTGTGGGGGGGTGTGTGTGAGAGTGTCCTATGTTGGTGGGATTGTGGGGGGTGTGAGAGTGTCCTATGTTGGTGGGATTGTGGGGGGTGTGAGAGTGTCCTTTGTTGGTGGGATTGTGGGGGGTGTGAGAGTGTCCTTTGTTGGTTTCCTGGGAAACGGAGGCTGGGATGGGGACTCACAGGCAGAAGATTGGGGGAGTCAGGAATGATGGAGGCAAAGGAGTCGGGGAGTGGGGTGCGGCCCAGGGAGAACGGAGGCCTCTTCAGAGCTCTGTCACAGACAGGGCAAAGGGTCTGGTCTTCACCCTGGGTGTGGACCGTGCCTTTCTGCAGCCTGTATTTTTGAACACTCTGACATCAGGGGTCCTTGGGGATTCCCCAAAGCTAGCTAGAGGCAGCAATGAGCCCTCTGTCAGTACAGCTTGAACATTTAAAGCATCCAATTCAAAATCCATGCCTTTCAGTCACACCCGTTTTTTGGATCAGGCACCATACGAGGGAGAGTCTTCCACCCCAAAAGCTCTTGGAAATCATTCAAATTAAGCCGATTTACCCTGCTTTTCCTGGTTTCCAGAGGCCATCTAACAAAGGTTCTCAGCTGACCCTCCGGCTTCTCCATGTGGTCTTGCATAGCGAGTGTTCTGAACTGTAAAGGTAAAATTTCTAAGCTGATTCTAAACTGCAAAGCCTGAGTTAAAGTATAAAAGACTGGGCATTGTAAAGTTTCTAAACTGCAAGGCCTGGGTTAAAAAGTGAAAGACCAGGTATTATTAAAATTCCTCTGCTACCCCCAAAACCTGTAATCCCTGTAGCTGTTAGGACAATACCCGAACTTCCCAGTAAATATTTCCACTGTTTCCATTGGTTTTCTAATAACCTGGGATTCTGTGTAGTATGTCACATAGTCCTTTAGGCCCTAAAACCAATCAGTTTGAATGTGTACCCGCTTAGAAGTGACCAATCACCCCTGTCCAGCCTGTTTCCGCCAATGAATGTACTAATAATCATGTCTCAGAGTTGTTGTTCAATTTTCCCGTGCCTCATGATGATTTGTTCTGATGTATGCAAAGCCCCCCGCCCTCCCCAAAAAGTGTACTTAAGCTCTGCTTGACCACTGCTCTGGGCTCTGGGCTGCTCTCCTTTCTTGAGTGGGCATGGGGCCCCAGCATGCTGGAAAAATAAATATCCCCTTATGCATATTCATGAAGCTGGTCTCTTGTGGTCTCTTTCTCCGACGCTCGCAGGACCCTTACAGAACTTTATACTCTCTTTTTGTTTCTGAGGATTGAACCCAGGACCTCACACCTACTATGCATGCACTCTACCCTGAGCTACACTCCCTGATGTCTCTTGTTGCTAAGAATTCCAAAAACAAGTCTTTCATGACAGTCATTTCTGTCTATGTGTCTTACCATGCCAGACTGAAATAAATCCCAGCAACTCTTGAAATATCCTATCATGGCTGGTGCAGTGGCACATGCCCGTCATCCCAGCAGCTCAGGAGGCTGAGGCAGGAGGATCAAAAGTTCAAAGCCAGCCTCAGCAACTTAGGTGAGGTGAAGCCTAAGCAACTTAGTGAGATTCTGTTTCAAAATAAAAATAAATAAATAAATAAAAAGGGCTGGGGATGTAGCTCAGTGGTTAAGCACCCTTGGGTTCAATCCTGGTACCAGAAAAGAAACCCCCAAAATCCTATGTTATGGTTTAGATTGGTGCCCCCCAAAAGCTTACATGTGAGACAATGTAAGAAGGTTTGAAGGAGAAATGATTGGGCCATAACCTTAATCTAATCATCGAATTAATCCCTGATGGGATTAACTGCGTGGTAACTGGGTGTTGATGGGGTGTGGCTAGAGGAAGTGGCTCATTTGGGGACATGGCTGTGGGGTATGTATTCTGTAGCTGGAGAGTGGAGTCTCTCTCTGCTTTCCGATCATCATGTGAGCTGCTTCCCTATGCCACACTCTTCCTCCATGATGTTCAGCCTCACTTTGAGCCTCTAGGAATGGAGTTGGCTGTCTATGGATGGAGACCTCTGAAACTGTGAGCCCTTAAATAAACTTTTCCTAGTCTCCGATTGTTCCAGTTGGGTCTTTTAGTGATAGCGGGGAAATAGCTGGCTGAAACACCCATCACAAAGCAGCCACGGGATGCTGCCTGCCCTGAACAATAGGTGTCGCCTTGAGCAAGGATGTTGCCCCTGGCGACGCCCAGAGGGGCCTGATTGGTGGAGCTGTCAGCAACCACTGCTTATACAGGAGAAAGGACCAAGGGGCGGAGTGTGGACCTGAGAAAGAGGGAAGAGCCTTGGGCTTAGAGAAGCAGGGCTTTTCGGACATTGGGAGAAAGGTGGAGGAATCCAGGTGGCTCTTGATGACAGCTTCCTTCCCCCCCCCCCTTTTCTGTAAAATAGAAAGGACTAAGAGAAAGAGGGAGGTTTTTGGCCTGGCGTGGTGGCACATACCTGTAGTTTCAGCGCTTGAGAGGCTGAGGCAGGAGGATCATGAGGTCAAAGCCAGCCTCAGCAATGTAGTGAGGCCGTAAGTAGCTCAGCAAGACCCTGTATCTAAATAAAATACTGATTTTATTTAGATGGGACTCAGTGGTTAAGTGCCCCAGGGTTCAATCCCTAGTACCCAAAAAAACAAAGATAGGGAGGTTTATTGAAGGTTTGTAAACATGGGTGAACCGGAGAGTAAGAAATGACATTGTGCAACAGTGAGGGCCCAGCCGAAGGTAAAGGCTGCCACGTTTTAGTGGTGACTATCTGTGGAGTTGCATGTTTTCTCAGCAGAGTGGGGACAGATAAGGCTGGAAGTTGTACTCCCCCAAGGGGTGAAGTTCTATCAGGCAACAGGGATAAAGGCAAGAGACAGTGCTGAGATTGAAGACTCTGGACTGGGAGGAAGAGGTGATAAGAGGAAAACCAGCAGGGGCTGTTGATTTCAATGGGGTCAAGAAACAATTATGGTGGGAAGAAGTGAATGAATGGAGAGTGGAAGGAGGGGGCTGGGAAGTGAGAGTTCAGGCTGTGGAGTGGTTCTGGGAGACCAAAATGTTAGGTGTGTCCTGAAAGGGGACAGGGAAGATCCTTGGAGGTATGGCACTCAGAGGTGAGGCAGTAAGAACTGGGAATCGTGGGTTGGACAGCTCAGACTTGTGGATGCTGAGTTCCTCTAGAGGGTGCTGGGACCTGAGTCGAACTGGGTTCCAAAGTCATCAGGGAATGAAGAGGTGGGATGAGGAGGGCAACAGATGGCACTGAGAGGGAGGCATTGAGGGCAGCATGTCCCAGGGGCTGGAAGAGGGACCTTAGAAGTCAGTTGCAAGCACTGTGCTTGCAAGAAGTGATTTTTCCAACTATTCTTCCTTGTTTGTATGTCACTATTTAAGTCCTGAGCTGATCTGCCTTGTCTCATGGCCATTACCTTGTGTTATAAGGTCTGTAAGAAAAGAATTTGTGATTCTTCTTGTAAAGGAATTTTAGAGCAAAAGGAGCTTCAGCATCCATAATCTAGTTTTACCTATTTGAATAAAAATCTGATGAGCTGGGGTGTCAAGTCCCATGAAGAACATTGTGTCCTCAGAGAGATTCCACTCTGCCTCCTCTTTCTTCTTTACATCTTATACCTATCTGCTTTCCTGTATCCCAATCCATTTATTTACTGTCTTTTAAAAAATAGATTTACTTTATTTATTTTTATGTGGTGCTGAGGATCGAACCCCGTGCCTCACATGTGTGAGGCAAGCACTCTACCACTGAGCCACAGCTCCAGCCCCTAATGTCTCTTATTATAATAGCAAAGCATGTTTATTTTAGAAAACTTTGAAAGAAAGAAAATAATGAAGAAGAAAACACAAGAAACTATGACTCCCTGTTTCCCCAAATAACCATTCAGAGCTCTACCACCCCAAAGAAACACCTATGAATATATTGACATTGTTTTGCAGGCTTCTAATTTCATCTTCTTAAGACCATAACCTATATATAATGTTTGCATTTGGGGGAATTAATATGTTTTGGGGCAGGTCTGGAGGCTGGAAATCCATTTATAGACCGGCTTGGTTTCCCCGGGGAGCTTTTCCTTGGCTTCACTTAGCCATCTTCTCACTGGTGTTTGCATAAGGTCATTGCTCTGTGCAGATATCCATGGTGTCCCTGATTTGGGGAATCCTCATTTTATTTGTATAACATTTTTAAGTCAACAAATACAAAAAGGAAATTTTATATAAAAATTAACCATACTGAAATTTTTAGCTCGGGTAGACCACTGCCTGGTGTTCATTTAAGAGAGGGGGCATCGTATGGTGGATCTTGTTTCGTAATCTGTTCACTCTGTTTCGCTTTGTATTGTTTCACCAGATGTCCTGGGAGCCCTCGGGGTCCCCTCTCCATCTTCTCTGCTGGCTGTCCCAGGAAGCTGACTGTGGAGCAGCCTTGTCCTCTGGCTTCCTCTGCCTCTGGTTAAGGAAAAGCCCTGAAGAAAGAGGACAGAGGAGCAGGGGGGCAGGGGTTCCCTGGCGGGGTCCCGTCGAGCTCCCCGCTCACCCCATTAAAGGTCATCGAGGGCTTTTCTCTAAGTCTTGGGAGCATCCTCACATCTTTGATGAGGAGCAGACACCCACACAGCCCAGGTGGGAACAGTGTGGCTTCCTTGTGCCTGTAGCCGGGGACAGAAGGAAAGAGCCGTGAGTGTAGTTTTTCAGCTGAGTAGCCGAGCAGGACCAACTGGCAGAGGTCACCGGATGTATAAAGCCCAACAGGGATCTGTTCAAATAACAACCCGCAGTGAAATTTAAGCAGAAATAGGATACTGCTATGATCTCAAAGTGTTTCCTCCCACAAATTTAATAATTACAAAGGAGAGTTTACACACAGAATTTTTGCAGGCATGACCTTAATGGCGTGATCAAGGTCAACATCACTGTTGACCTTGTTGATGCACATCAACATTGCGTACCCCTGATCCAATGCACTGTGGATTCCTCCCCAAGGACACATACATAACTTCCATGTAGTCATGGAAAAATGTCCCATCAAGTATCTGACCAGTACACTTGGGAAATGTCAAGGTCATAAGGAAAGATGGAGGAACTCTTACAGACTGGGGCGAAGAATTCATCATGGCCATGAATGTGACATGGATCCCAGATTGGGTCCTAAAACGGAAAAGGGCATCAGTGTAACAGTTAGTGAAATCTGAGTCAATTTAGTGGTTTCCTTTATAGTATAGTACCAAGGCTAATTTTGATAATTGTTCTATGATTATGTAAGATGATAATGATCATTGGGTGAAGCTAAGTGCAAGGTACACAAGACATTCTCTGTATTATTTTTGCAATCTCTCTGTATAAAATTAACTCAAAAAAAAAAAAAAAGATCCTCCACAAACCTATGGGTGTGGTTGACAGGTTGACCAAAGGTGAGCACCAGCAAGGCCCCAGAGCTCTTCCTTGGTGTTTGTCTCCACCTGGGATTGTGCCCATTTGTGATTAGCTTTTGACACCTTCGTTGGTCCTTGAAGAGGAAGCTCTAGGAGCTGGTGTTCTTTCAGATCCTCAGTACCCAGCGCAGAGTGGGTGCTAAAGATTGAATGAACGAAGAACGAATGAATTCGATCCTGGTTTTCATGATGGAGCAGAATTGGCCTCTGCAATGACAGTTTTTGGAGCCACTGCGATTGTTAGGGTCTCTGGGTTGGTCTGGGGTCCTGAGGAATCAGACATGGAGCCAGGGTGGGGATGAACTTGGTTTGGGGTGAATCTCTGGGGCCAATTGTCCCTGGAGCTTCCTTTGCTTGGTTTTGGTGGCAGTGCTCTTCTGAGAGGCACTGAAGGGGCAGCCAGAGTCAGCTCCCAGGTGATTTTACTTCCAGTTTCCTCCTATAGCTCCCCCACTCCCCACCCAACTACCACCACCATCACCACACACACACACACACACACACACACACACACACACACACTTTGGGATTGTTGATCTTTTTCTGATCTGATTTGTAGGAGCAATTTATAAATTCCGAATGTGGGCCCTTTAATGGGTATGTGCAAGGTGCAACATTTTAAATCGAGAGTCTCTCGATGATATTCTAAATATAGTCAAACCTGTGGATCATTCTTTGTATATGGGGTTTTTCCAAATTTGCTACCTTACCTTAAGTCCACGAAGATATTTTCTTCTAAAGGTTTTAAACGTTCCATTTTAATATCTTACTTTTTTAAGCCCATCCAAAATTTGTTCTCTATAAAGTGTGGCTTCATAACCCAATTTCACTTTTTATTTTCCACAGGGAATTCCATCATTTCAGCCTGCTTTTGGAAGAGGCTGCCCTTTCCTCATTGACTTCCTCCTGTTGCCTCTGTCGGGAAGGAAGGTTTGTAATAAGATATCTGGTGTCTGTAATAGAAAACTGTATTTGGCTAGCCTGATGCAGTGGCACACACCTACAATCCCAGGGACTTGGGAGGCTGAGGCAGGAGGATCACAAGTTCAAGACCAGCCTTTGTCTCAAAATAAAAAGGGGTGGAGAGGGGCTGGGGTTGTGGCTCAGGAACAGAGTGCCCCTAGTTTAATCCCCAGTATTGAAGGATACGGAAAACAACAACTCCCGGGGGGGGGGGGGAAGGGGGGACAGCAAGCCCCAGGGAGTAGAGGAGGACAGTGAGTCCAGGGAGAGAAGGAAAACACTGGGCTCTGGACTTTCACCATTTCCAAGCAACAGTGGGCTCTGAACTTGCACAGCTATCTCCCCCACCCACTGCCCCTTCTATGAGTCAGTCTAACTGAACCCTATAAAACTTAGACCCCTCGTAACTAGTTGCCATTTTCCTCCTGAAAATGTGCCCTTTTGCTGCTTATTAAAGCCCGGCTGATCCGTTGAAGTCTGTCCCCATTT